AGGGACCTCGGCCACCTTGGCTCGCTATGCTCTTGTGTACAAGCTTGGGTCAGCCTGGTGGACAAGGAGAGGCCACACGAAGAGAAGTTCTTCTGTCATACCTGGGGCCTTGGACGGTGCGAGGTCCACTGAGACGGCAGACTGCAGGGAAGAGGGGCCTGTCACGGACTCTGACTCAGCGGGATCCTGTTGGGTGCAGAGCACGGGCCACAGGGGAGGGGCAGGGAGAAGACAGGTGAGGGAGACAGGCCGAGGCTGCTGCAACCAGGGAGAGCTGGCAGGGTGGTGGCAGCCAGAGGGCGAGCCTGGCTAGAGCCATGACCAAGCAAAAGTGGGTAGGACTTGCGGATGGGTCGGATGTGGGGTCGTGGGCCTAGCTGGATTAGGGATCCTGCAGGGAAACCGATGTTGAATGGCCGGGCTGGACAAGAATGGGGACCTCCGAGTCCCCTGCCAGCAGCTCAGCTCAGTGCTAGGAGCGAAAGGACTTACCTAAGGCCAACAGTGCAGAGTGTGTGTGTGGGGGGGAAGACTGGGGCTCCTATCCTAGCCTGAAGAGCCCCCACATCCTCTGCTGGACAGGAGGGTGACGGGAAAGGCAAGAGTGTGAGATGAACCCTCAGAACCCCATTGGCTTTTGAAACCTGGTGAGGCTGCGCCCCCTGGTGGCTAGTGTGGTTAGTCACAGCCTCCTCACCCTGGACACAGCCCACAAGCCAGGAAAAACCGTGGGACACGCCAACTCCCATCTGGGGAAGTTTTGTCTCTGGCTCTGAGCTCCCCAGGCCGGAAGCTTTTGGACCTGCCAGGTGTGTTCCCCGGCCTGGCCCATTCTGGGGAGGGATTCTAACTGCTCATCCAACAGGCTTACAGAGAGGAAGAGATTCTGGAAGAGGGGTTGACCTGGGGGCCTCTTCCGCTCCTTCTTTTGGCTGATCTTCTCAATCTCCTCCCGCTTTTCTTTTCCTTACATTTTTTTCTTTTGCTTTAGGTATCTTTGAGGAAAAAAAAAGCACATGGAAGAAAACAATTCAAAACATAAGAGAGCACACACTACACCCAGGAACCCTCCCTCTCCCTCCTCCTCCTCCTCTTCCTCCTCCTTGCCGCTGCCTCCTCTGGCAGTCACTGTTATAATTAGCGTTTCCTCCAACGCATCCTCTCAACTGACAGTAACTCACCCACCTCTAGTTTGTGGCAAGCACACTTGGAGTTTTCGACCTGGCATTTCTCCTCAGCCTCGCAGCTAGAGTCACATCCTTCCCCCACCCCCTCTCACAACTCCCCCTGCTCCGAGTCTCCCTCCTTGAGAGCAAAGGTCAGAATCTTCACAATAGCACAACCTGACCTCTCCAATTCCGGGACTTGGTTTCCTGCGACTCTCTTGCCCCACAGTCCTCCTTGGACTCTCTTGCCCCACAGTCCTCCTTGGACTCTCTTGCTCCACAGTCCTCCTTGGACTCTCTTGCCCCACAGTCCTCCTTGCTTTTCTTATTATGGGACAACACAAAGCAGAATACTGATAGTTCCGACCAGGCGTGCAGTTCAGTGGCATTGAATCCACGGACGGTTGTGAACCAGCTGCTATCGATACCCCGACTTTTTCATCCTCCTCCATATAAACAGTAGATAAACAGTGACCCGCCCCCAGCTTGATAGACAGCCCTATTGTTTATTGTGCCTATGACTCTGAGTAGGCTAGATGTCATACACTATCCATCCTTCTGCTTCTGAACTATTTGAGTGAGCACAAGGACAGCAAATCACTCCACATTCCCTCCCTTTTGGCGGCTGAAAAATATTACACGGGATGTATAGTGGCACCAGCACTGTGTGTATCCATTGCCCGTGGGTGGATTTTGGCTACTGTGAATGGTGCTGCCTTGACTTTGGTGTCAGCCTCCTCAGGGTTCTACTGGTCCTGTGCACGTCCACCTGGACGACTTCACACTGGCTGTGTCTGCTGCCTCGAAGGCTCTTTCCCAAGAGGTGCACATGGCACAGGCCTCAGTTCTGCCAGGTCTCTGCTTGTCTGTTGGCTGCTCGGTGAGACCCACCCTGACCATTCTTAAACCACGCCACCCGGGCCTTCCTGCTGCCTCGATTCTCTTTTGGCTTTTTTTGATGGCACTTTTGAATGTTCCAAGCTACTTGTTTAGCATCTTTGTTGTTTAGTGTCTGCCTGGGAAAAATGTCAGCACAATGAAGAACCTCTGCTGTATTTATCTCAGGCACCCAGATGTTCAATGTATCATTTGTTAAATAAACTTAAGGCTAAAAGCCTTGGGAAATGGCTAAAAGTGCACACACACACATACATGTATTTTTTGTGGTGCTACAGATGGAACTCAGGCCCTCACGTAGGTGAGGCAAGCTCTCTGCCACCGAGCTGGACTCTGAGCCCGCATTACAGGTGTGCGCGATCAGAGGCAAAGGCTGATGGGTGAGATGCCGTCACATGCTGACTTCTCTGAAATGCACAAAACTTGAAACACCTCATGTTGCAGATTGTTTCAAATCTGGGTTGAAATGGGGGTTATCTCCTCAACCCAAAGAGGGTTCATGTCCCCAGGATTGAGGTCAGGGGCTGAGGTAAAGCTGCAGAAAGCCAGATGACCTTTTCTTACCTTTGGGGGGTCTTTAAGGTCTTTTCTTGCCTACTCTGGGCAGCCCAGTGTCAGCGTGACAGCAGCTGCTGAATGCCAGAGAGCTGACGGAGCAGAAACAAGAAATGACAAGAAGGGCTGGAAGGTGGCTCAGTGGTAGAGCGCTTGCCTTGCATGCATGAGGCCCTGGGTTCCATTCCTCAGCACCACATAAGCAGAAAAAGCTGGAAGTGGTGCTGTGGCTCAAGTGGTAGAGTACTAGCCTTGAGCTGAAGAGCTCAGGGACAGCGCCCAGGCCAAACGTTCAAGCCCCACGGCTGACCAAAAGAAAAAAATGACAAGAAGTAAGAGAAGCAGAGAGGACAGACGCTGAAGAAAGACAGGAGGCTTCAAAGTCAGAGATGAGAAAACACAGGTCCAAGCTGGAGTTGCCAAGATTTACAGGCTTAAGGGTCCCAGATACCCTAGTCCTGAGAGCTGTAACGCAGCCATTAGCAAGGGCTGAGGTTTCCAAGATGTCAAGCCTGAGAGCTGTGACACTGCCCTGGCAAGGGCTGTGTCTGCTCAGGAGCTGTGACACTAGCAGGTACTGCCTGCTGCTACTCAGTGCTGCTAGGAGCCAAGCAATGCAACAGTCGTCAAGTGCTGGGCCACAGGTGGCTATGGAATAGAGTGTTAAACCTCCAATCTGAGCGTCTGGAGCATCAGGCCCCTAGTTCTCAGGGACTGTAGCCCCGAGTCTTTAGGTATGCAGTCTAGCCCCTAGGCAGAGGTCAGCTACCATTGGAAGAGCTTTGCCTTCCTATTTATGGTTTCTACCCAGGGAGAGCAGAAGAACCCCAGAGAGCTGAACCTTGGCTATTTCTTTCCCATTTTTTTTTTCCTCCAACCCATGAAGCTGCCACCACTTTTCCTGGACACGGCCCAGCCCAGCATCCCCGTGCGTGGCCCTCAAGCCAGACCATGGCCCTCTGGCATCACTCCTGCTTTCCCGCCCGGGCAGCAGGCGTGCCAACCTCAGTCCTCAAGTGCTAGCTCAGGACCGCAGCAGCTGGCGGGCCTGGGCACTGGGGCCAGCTGCCTGGAAGGTGTCCTTGGGGAAGTCACATGACGTGCTGCACACTCTCCCCATGTCATGGTTCCTTTTATCTGCTCTGGGATTTTATTGTGTTGCCAAGACACCTCATGCAGACAAGCAAGGGGGCAAGAGCCAAGAGAAGGAAGTAGATAAAAAGAGGACAGAGATGCCAGGTGCTGGTGGCTCACGCCCGTCATCCTAGCTACTCAGGAGGCTGAGATCTGAGGATCACAGTTCAAAGCCACCTGGGGCAGGAAAATCCCTGAGATTCTTATCTCCAAACCACTAGAAAACCCGAAGTGGCACTGTGGCTCAAGTGGTAGAGTGCTTGCCTTGAGCTGAAGACTGAGGGACAGCGTCCAGGCCCAGAGTTCAAGTCCCCCCACCTCCACCCCCCCAAAAAAGAGAACAGAGACCAAGACAGAGCACAAGACATTTTGGCAGCAAGGAAGCAGGCCTTGATATTCTGCTTTGTGTGAAAGAGCTTTTCTGAGTTTATCAAAGGACTCGTGTTCTTCCTCATAACAATGTGCTGCTCTTCCTGACTGCGAGGCTCTTCCCATCCATCTCTCCCTGAGCACTGTGCTCTCGAGTTTCTGTGTCTGGAAAACCTCTCCTTTGATACCAGAGCATCTGCACACAAACACACTACGACTCGGGAGTATCTGTGCCCTGCCAGTGGAGGCCTCTTGCGCTGACACTGCTAGGCCTTCTCCCCCGGCACCCCGTCTGTCTCTGTATTTGGCACATGGTTATGTCTGGATGAAATGGGTTAAGTTAAACTCGTAGAAAAGCGCTCGGTAGGGGCAAGTCACAGTATCTGTCATTGTTATTTGTGCTGACACTGGGGCTTGGATCAACTCCCGCTCGGCTTTTCCTACTCAAGGCCCTGCTTCCGGTTCTGGTGATGAACTGGAGATCAGAGTCTCACAGACTTTTCTGTCCGGGCTGGCTTCGAACCATGATCCTCAGATCCTGAGAAGCTAGGACGACAGGCCGGAGCTTCTTAGTTGATTCTTGAGTTCGTTTACAACTGCGCTGGGGTAGGAGGCGTCACCACACTTGCTCATCCTGTTGGCTAGTCGGGGAGCCGCGGGTCTCAGTTTCTCCACCGCCGTCACAGGCTCATCTAGGCCTTCCGCCCTGACAGCGCCTGCGCAAAAGTCGCCCCCAGCCCCGCGCGGATCCAGTGAGTCCCCGCCCCTTCCGGTCCCTCGAGGACTCGGCGCTCGGCCGGCGTCTGTCAGCCAAACGCCCTATTTCCGGGCCGCCGCAGGGCGCCCTGCCGAGCGCCGAGCAGCAGCTAGGGGATGGCTGCCGTGGCTCCGTGAGGAAAGGCGGAGGCCCGGAGCTGGGACCGAGGACGAGCCAGGCCCGCGGGCCTGGGAGAGCGCGGCCCGGTACTGAGGGGTGCGCCGTCGGGAGTGCGCGGGGCGGCGTGACGTCTGCGGGGGACGGGGCGTGGGGAGCTGGGTGCCGTGGTTGCGAGAGGTCGAGGCCGCGTTTTGGGTGGCAGAATCTCCGGTCGGTCGTGTCCCGTGCGTGGGGATGCGGCGTGTGCGGGGCGGCGGGGTCCCGGGCG